GATGTAATAAAAAATAGAATCAATGAAAGGAAATCTTACGGAAGATTGTGACATGAATTGAATGTTTCGTAATGCTAAATTATATTGCTAATCACTAATATGCTAAAATTCATGTTCAAAGTTTCTTCTTTTGCTTTAAAGAAAAGTATGACATTGACTTTAATCAGAGCAGATACAAATAAAACAGGCTTTTTCTGCCTGGTTTCAGTTACAGGAACCCGACTCAATAGAAACAACGCTCTCATTAAAGATTTAAGACGCCAGAGGTGATGACCTCATGATAACGGCGTTGTGAACTCCTCAAAGTCCTCCGCAATTAAAATGCACTCGTCCCCAATTAAGTGCAAGTCCGTGAAAGTTAACAGGCGGGACAGGAAAAATCTCATCTTTTGTTCAGCAAGTTCCTCCCTTCTCACCCTTCTGTGACGACAACACGTTTTGACAAGTGGAATAGGGTGTGTGTCCATTTCCCCGTGTGTGATGGAGACTCTGAGGAGGTCACTGTGATCCATGATGATCATAAACAGAGTCACCGGCCTTTAAACGCACCTTTAATCTGCTGTATCCACACCAGAGATGTAGAAAGTACTGGAGTAGAAGTACAAGTACTGTATAAAAAAACTGACTTGAGTAAAAGTTGAAGTGCTCTTTCAACACCTTACTTAACCCTTTAAAGCCTGATCCAAGAATAAAACAAAACAGAAAATTACTTTTTTTTGGTTTGAATTCCTTATTTGGCCTGTTAACAAAATATGTAAAAAGAAAAAACAGGAATACATTTTTGATATTAATGATTTAATACTATTCGATAAGTCAAGATTATTTTTTGTGTAGTCTTCTGCCCCCTGTTATCAGGTGTATCTGATTGTGTACAATAGGATTTTGAGAAAAGTTTTTACCATTGAATTATGCAAAAGGTGTCAGACGCAAAACATTTCAGAAACCCTATGTATCAAATATGATACGTTTGGCATTACAGGGTTAAGTGGAAGTACGGAAGTACTCCATTTTTTTTTTTTACTTAAGTATTGCAAGTAGAATTATTTTTTTTTAAATTGCTACACAAATATTGAAAGTACATACAATTTCGCAATCTTTCGGGAGGCTTTTTTTAATATAGGCTATGCTTGATGGCTCAAATCGGCCAATGAGGAGCCAGCTTCCCAAACCCTGACAGAGCTATCTACAGCTCTGACTCTATTTATTACGTTTACATATCAGTAACCAGTAACGATTCAGCCCCTAAAAGTAAAAGTATTAAATTAATCAAAAATATGTAGTGGAGTAAAAGTAAAAGTAGGACAAAACATATATATACTCCAATAAATCAATCAATCAATCAATGTTTATTTATATAGCACTTTACAACAACCGGAGCTGACCAAAGTTCTTTACAGAATAAAAACAAATCAAACTGTCGAAATATACAAAGACAAACACATTGGTGACAGAACCCAGTATACAGAGATTTTACGTGCAGAGTCCAGATACTGCATTTTGGTACCTAAAATAAAGTACTTAAGTAGTTCTACTTGGTTATTGAACATCTTTGGTCCAAACAGATTAAAGGTAGAGAAAGTGACACGTGAAGCTCTGTTCTGTTTGTTCGTGTGAAACGACAACTTGTCCCGTCACGGACCCACAAAGACTCACACACAGTGTGCAGCCGGAGAGGCAACTGTGAGTCATGGGGAGAGCGTGTGAATGAAGAAGCACCCCTATCAACACCCTCCAACTACTGTGAAGGTACCGGGGAAGAGGCGTAAAGCGCCGGGTTACGAGGCCCCGGGGCCTGAGAAGCTTTTTCCTATGATCCGCAGATAGCAAACAAGTGGAAGAACATGAGCTAATGTTTTCGCGCCGGCCGTAAACTCAGGTCAGGGGACATTTTTCACGTTTGACGTTTTGTTTTCTTCGTGATGGAAAAGAAAAGTTGTCGCAAACATGGCAAAGTCTTACTTTTTAAAAATCTTTTCGTTTATACCTAAAAGGGGTTTTGTTAATTTCTGACTGAAGCCATTCACATGTCATGTAAAATTGTTTTTTTTTTGCTCAAATCTATACCTGAAAAAGGTGTAAAAATAAGTATATTTGTGTTTTCATTCAAAATAAATTAAAATACTGTGTACTAGTAAGTGTTAATACTTGATTATCTTCCACATAGATGAACCGTGTCATTTTAAATTGAGCAGTAAAGGAGTTTTGATTGGTTAATTATTCAGAAATATCCAATTATATAGAATTTTACTGGTTTTAAGGATCATTTTAGGAGATTTGATGTGACTGAACCCAGCTAGCACATTTCCTTTTAGCATCCATGCTAACGGAGCAAACTGACAAGCTGTATGTTGAATGTAGACATGTGGATGACAAAATCCCAAAGCTACATATCAGACTCTGCTGGTTGGTGCGTTAAAGGTCAAAGGTCGTGACAGTCAGAAAAAGACTGAACGACTGAGGCTTGTTTGTTTGGGTTTTTCCGGTTTGCAGAGCAGCTGCCGGCACGGCGGTGGAGGGATGATGATCCGGGCCAGTGTGCAGCTCTGGGACCTGGGAAATCCACCATGAACCCCTCTGGATGTGTCAAGAGTAGAGTAGGCACGCCTCTAAACCACCAGAAGTTGTTTTTTTTGTCTTTTTTCTCCATGTGGTCTCGTCATTTCCTGTTTTATTTTGATAAGAAACCCTCCTCTCGTTTCAGGTCACGTGAACTTCCCTGTGTGTCATCTGTCCGGGTGCCTACTTCAGCGGTCCCCAACCTTTTTTGCGCCACAGACCGGTTTTATGTCAGACAATATTTTCAGGGACCAGCCTTTGAGGTGTGGCGGATAAATACAACAAAATAACACGATATGACCTGCATGAAAACTGTGCACTCGCATTGGTTGATGTGGTCACGCTTTTTTCTTTCTAAATACTCCAAAGGCTTGTCTTTTAATGCAGGGTGCTTGGTCTCCAGGTGGCGAAGCAGTTTTGAGGGCTTCATTGCCTCATTCAAGAGCCGGTCACTGCATATTATGGGCTTGGTGTGCGGGAATCTCTCGTTGGGATGAATCCGTATTTTAAGTAGGACTCCTGATATTGTCTATTAAATGTAGCTTTCTTTTTCTTGGAAGTCGTTGGCTCCTCTTCTGTCTCCTGGCTGGGCCATTTCCCCTTCGCAAAGAGAAGTTTTCCAAAGACATTTGTTTTTTACTCATTTTGCTAGCTCCTGGGTTTAATTTTAGCGGAAACCTATCACGTGACCGAGAAGAGCGCATAGACATAGATGGATGTAACCAAGAATCTGGTCATTTTTCATGTGTTAAATAGTTCACGTTTCCTCTCGTCTTGTGCCAGTCTATTTCATCCTACGTCCTATTGAGATTAACCTGTTTATTCCTCCTTAGAGTGATTTTGATTTCGTACTTCCTAGTTATTGTTCTCATCTCCAGGTGAGTATTGTTTTGGTACTTTGTTTATGGTCTTTCTGCCTCGATTCCAGTGATCCTGGTTTGTTACTTTTCTAACCCGACCTCCTTGAGTGATTATTATTTGGTACTTTGCACTTCCACAGCGAGAGCCGGACATAGAAAACACGCTTAAACCTGCATTATAAACGCTCACGGAAAAGAGAAAACTGCACCTATAGGGGTCCAAAGACTCGCCTCTGTGGTGGTTCCCTCAAAACTCCGGCTGGTGGACATAAGAAGACCTTTCAGGGCCTCTAAAAGTACAAATCTGAGCCTTTGGGTGCACTTTTTAGCCACGTGGGGAACACAAGTCGCCCCTTTGCAAACATAAAAGAAATTCCAGGGATAAATGTGGCAAGGCAAGGCAAGTTTATTGGTACGGCACATTTCGTGTACAAGACAATTCAAAGTGCTTCACAGAGAATTTAAAAGCAGAAAAACAAGAAAAGAAAAATAATCAAAATTAGACAGATGAAAAGTGAAGGGTGCAGATAAAATACATTCAATTTCCATACGCACAATTAAACAAAAGCGTTTTCGACCTGGATTTAAACACTGAGTTGAAGCCTGTCTGACATCTTCAGGAAGTCAGATCCAGATTTTAAGAGCATGGAACTAAAATGAAGCTTCACCTGGTTTAGTTCTGACTCTGGGCCCCATCAGGAGACCAGAACCTGGTTTAGTTCTGACTCTGAGACCAGAACCTGGTTTAGTTCTGACTCTGGGCCCTAGCAGGAGACCAAAACCTGGTTTAGTTCAGACTCTGGGCCCCATCAGGAGACCAGAACCTGAGATTCTTAAAGTCCGAGCTGGTTTGTATGGCTCTAACATGTCAGAAAGGTATTTGCTGGTATTTGTATAAATGTGTTGTTTTCCTCTACTTTAATAGTTTTTTTTGTTGTCTCAGATTAAATGTTTTTTGGGGGCTTTAAAAAGGCTGATGAGGAGGATAAAGGAAGGGGTTAGGATGCTGGGTGGCCGGACCTCCTTGAGTGATTATTATTTGGTACTATGAAGTTTTTTGTACTTCTACCTCCCTATCTGAGTCCTCTCTGAGTATCCATCTGACACCGGAAGGCCGAAAACCATCAGAAACCTGCCGATCCACCTTCCTGACGTGATCATACGAGGGTCCTCCGACCTGGAAGAGGACATTCCTCGTTCCTTGTGTTATTCCTTGTTCTTCCCATGACTTCACATCCCAGATCCACGTGTGTTACGTGTGTGTTAGTCACCGTTTCGGCGGCCCGACATGTGCGAAACCGACGGTCGAATGGAGATGAATCATGGCGGATAATTCCACCCCTCTCCTCCTCCCTCTCTCCTCGGACCCCTCCACTTTCCTTCCCCCCTCTTAGTCACCTCATGGATGTGTCATTGTTTCTCTCACTTTGGATTTTCACGATCTCCGCGGTGCCAAAAATCGTGCCAAAGATGGCGGCAATGGCGTCCACTGACCATTGACCACGCCTCCACGCCGTCGTAAAAACCACTCAGGACGCCATAAAAGCAGCGAAAGCACTGTGAACTGCTCAGAAAGGAAAGAAGATGCAGATCCCTGTTTTTCTCTGCGTGATGGCGGCCGTGGGGCTCCTGCTGGGGGCCGGCGGCGGCCTGGCGGCGCCCATGGAGTGCCACTTCGACTCCAGAGGTTTTTTTTAGCACTCTCGATAGCATGCGTTAAAGTTTAAAGTTATTTGTTTAGCTACTTACTTAGTTGTCAGACTCATGTTGATCAAGGATTTACTCTGATAGCAACTTAATGGTTAGGACACAGACCTGTGGGTTACAGATGCTAATGCTAACGCTAATGTCGGATCGGACTTAACCCTTTAAAGCCCGATCCAAAAGGAGATAGAGTGAATTTTTAAAATGATTTTTGATCTGAAGACTGTGTTTCGGCCCTTTAAGAAAATATGAAAAAAAAAAGACGGCTTAATGGTTAGGACACAGGCCTGTGGGTTAGGAGATGCTAATGCTAATGTGGGAATGGACTTAACCGTTTAAAGCCCAATCCAATAAGAAATAGAGTGAATTTTTTAAATGATTTTTGATCTGAAGACTTTGTTTCGGCCCTTTAACAAAATATGAAAAAAAAGACTAAAAAAATGTTTTAATATCAGAACTTTTTGGAGGTTTTTAGGAGGTCTCGATCAGAACTTTTAGGAGGTCTGGATCAGAACCATTAGAATATTTCTAGGTGGTCTGGATCAGAACCTTTAGGAGGTTTTTAGGTAGTCTGGATCAGAACCATTAGAACGTTTTTAGGAGGTCTGGATCAGAAGTTTTAGGAGGTTTTTAGGAGGTCTGGATCAGAACTTTTAGGAGGTCTGGTTAGGTTAATGGTTAGGACACAGACCTGTGGGTTGCAGATGCTAATGCTAATTAAAACGGAGATGCTAATGCTAATGCTAATTAAAACGGGACAGATAGATGCCAGAACCTGGAATGGACTGATTGGATCCAACACTCTACATCAGTGACACTCGGCCCCAGATATGAAAAAAGCGGTTTCTGTTCCTCTTTCTCTCAGCTCAGTGTGAGTTCGGGGGCCGGCGCTACTCTCTGGGCGACTCCTGGATGGACGAGGCCTGCATGCAGTGCACCTGCCTGCACCCCGTCGGGGTCGGCTGCTGCCAGACGTGAGTACAGATAGTAGTAGATAGACATCTATCTATCTATCTATCTATCTATCTATCTATCTATCTATCTATC